TCCCCATCCATCCCCACCGCCCCCCGCCCCGGGGCTGGGGGTCACAGAGCAGGGAGAGCCCCCGCTGTGGTTTGCATCCCAATTTGCTCCGCATTTCCACACCATTTGCTTCCTTTTCTTTTTCCTTGCGCCAGAAAGATGCTGCTACCCAGGGGTCCCAACGGCTCCCGGCCGGGAACGCAACAACAAACACCCCCGACACCTGCGTCCTTACGGTGGACGCAGAGTTTCCAGGAAAACTGCTGCCTCTTGAAATTCCAGGCTGGGGGGTGGCACATGCCCCTGCAACTCCCGGGCACGACCTGCTCCCTGCTCATCCCACCCTGCGAGCCCCGCAGCCCCGCACCCAAATGATATGCAGATCTCTGGGCTTCAATTGGCCGATGCCTCGGGGAAACCGCCACCATGTGCCCACAACAAACATGGCAGCCGCGGCCCAGTCGCTGCCTGGGCTGGGCCCAGCTTCATCCTTTGACATCAGGAATACGAGGCACCCTTGGCCCCCCCCGGCAGACCCCGTCACTGCTCACCCTGACCCGGGGGAGCCCCGAGCCTGCAGCGCCGGGGGGAAGTGCGGGCACCCCGATAATGCTCCTTTTTTCTGGGGGGTCCAGGCACAAAGACCAAGCGTCCCGTCAAACAGCCCCAGCGCTGAGACCCCCACCCCAGCGGGGGCTCTTTGCTCTGCAAGCCCCCAGGAGCGGCCAGGGCCCTCGCCGCGGGTCCGAACCCCAACGCGATGGGCTCTCGGTCCCGGCTGCTCCCCGGCCCCGCCACGCGCACCCCGGCAGCGCCGCTCGACGCTCCTGCTCCGACCTGCCAGAGGCACCAGCAGCCTCACCGGGAAGGTCTGATCTTGGGGCGAACACCTTCATCTGGCAGCAAATCACCGCAGCCCCCCGCTACCGGCATCACGCAGGATACGCAGCATTCCTGGGATGTCTGGAACGCTTGGGAAGAGCTACAGAGCTCTGCTCCACCAGATTAGCTCAGGAGCCCGAGTCTCACGTTTAAGATGCCAAAGGTTTTCTCAGCGATTGCGGAGTTTATTGGCTCTGTTGTCACTTAGCCCGGCTGGAGCCGAGGAACGTGGCAGCCAAACTATTTACTGCGTGTTCCCGTCTCCCCGGGAAGGTGAAGTCTGTCAGGGATACCCATCGCCAAGTTCAGCCCGAAGGTGCTCACAGGCGGAGCTGCAGCAGCGAGTGACACCTCCTCTCCTCCTGCAGCCCCCGGGAGCTCTGCCCCAGCCCGCAGCGATGCCCGGGGACGCGCCGGCGCTGGGACGGTTCCCTCTGGCCAGCTCAGCAGAGAGGGGACATCGCCGTGCCAGGACTCGGGACTCCCCCGTTTCCCCTCCTTGCCCTCAGTCTCGCCGTGCAGACGCCGTCCCTGCCCTCCCCAGGGGAGCTGGAGGCAGCAGCAGAAGGCAGACAGGCAGAGGCGAAAGGCACTTGCGGACAATTTTTTTTTTTTTTCCATCACTAAAACATCCTGAAACACCGAGGACAAAGCCAGGCAACACTAGGCCGGCACCCCCAGCGCAGGGAAGGGGCAGGCAGCTACGCTTCCAGCAAGATCCTTTTGCTATTGCTGAGCCCAAGAGCAAAAGATCTGAACTGCAACATCAAAACTCGCAGAATTTGAACATATAAACAAATGTAGGATTTTTTTATGCGCTTCCTGTTTTTGCAGATCTCAAAAGCCACAAGTTCAGGCTTTTTGAATGTTTAGAGTGATTTATTCTCTTCCCTTTTCTAAGAAAAAGGGAGGCTTTTCACTTAACCACACGGCTCCATTAAAGACATCCAATAATAGAAAGGAAACCTGTGATCAGCCTGAGGGAGCTGCCCCCCCCCCCCGAAGGGGCGACAGCCAGGCCTCGGCGTGCTCTGCGCCCCCAGGAAACCCCCGCTCTGCCCCCGGCCGTCGCACGCAGCTTTCAAACTGCACAAAATGACCTGCGGCTCCAAACTGGGGAGAACTGGCAGAACGCCCGGAGCCCACCGCAGCACAGGTGCTGACCAGGACCCCTTCCCAGTAACGCCCCGGGGATAGAAAGGAGATTTCCAGTCCAGGGAGCAGCGCAGCCCTTTTCTCCCCACAACAGGCGACGGGGACTCGGCTCCGCATCGACGCGGAGGAGTGGGAGCGCGACAGCACTGGGGCAGCACCAAGGGACCGGGGTCACTGCTGGGCAGGGACAGCTCGGGGCTGGCCACGACGGGCAGAGGGGCTGGCACAGCCCCGCGCCAGGCACCAGCCTCCCGCACGCTGCGCTCAGCCCCCACCAACACCCGACGATCTTACAGGCTCCGGGCACGTCCCTCCCTCAAACCCACACCACTACGGGGACGCTGCGCTCAAGTGAGGTCAGAGACCCCCGGGAATCCTGCGGAAACCCGGCGACTTGTGCAGGTCCACCCCCCTCAGGTGGCACCCGGACCGTTTTCCCAGCAGGAGCGGGACAGGTCACTGGAAGACTCAGGCCATGAATGTGATGTAATGAGAGAAAAAGAACTACACAGTGAGGAAAAGGTTATAAAAAGGGTGATCTTAGAACAAGGTGAGCTCTCGGGGTGCCGGGGTATCCCCCTGGCTCAGCAGCGGGCGCCTGCCCTGATGTGCTGGAAGAGAACAGTTCTCTTGCGTACAGCACGGGGCAGAACTGCCCGGACGGCTGAAGTATATTTACCAAACTGCCTTTCCCACATGGGAGCGTCCTCCCAGTTACCCCCATCCTGGTCCCGTTACCCCACTGGTGCCAGGCACAGCCCTTCCACTGAGAGGCATCGAGTTTTGTAACGCTGCCCCTGAGCGCAGCTCCCTGCTCTGCTCGTGCCAGGGAACCGGGCAGCGATGGGAGAGTGTTCCCGTGGGCAGCCCTCCGGGCAGCCCCGCTTGCTACAGCAGTCCCGCAGCAAGAAGCTTCCAGCGGCCAGTGATGGACCACATGGCGTTACCCATCCTGACTCAGCGGCTCCTCCAATTCATGGTGAAATTTCCAGTTTTTCTGGTACAACAGGATCAGGCAAACAGGAGCATCAGCCAGGCCTCCGCTAAGCTTTGCCTTACTCCGGCACCCGCAGAGCGGAGCTTCCCCTCCGCACGCCGCGGCCTCCGAGAAGCAAACGCGCTCCCTGGAAACCCGGCAAGTTCTCCCCCTCGCTGGGCGCGTTTCTCCTCCCTGGCCCCTCCCGGGCTGGACGCGGGGCCGGGGCTGGCGGCCGCGCAGAGCCCGGGGCCGTCGTGCGGGGGATGTTTTCAGGCCACTCTCTGATTTT